CTAAGATGCTAGTATTAAGAATTTGGAGACACAAGTTGGTCAACTAGCTAACATCATTACAAACAAACAATAAGGAACATTATCAATGACATAGAGAAAAATTCAAAAGAGGTAAAGGTAACTACATTGAAGAGTGGTAAGTAAATTGATGAGTTATAAAAGAAGAAGCCAATAAAAAATTTATCAACCGAAAAAGAGCATAATTTGACATCATTTAAAAAAGAGTAAGTCGAACCCCTAATCTAACCAAAACCATAAGCTGAAAATACAGGTAAATCAAGTATGAATTTTGAAATTCTTCATTTGAAAGATCTTCCTTTTCCTTATGGACTTAAGCAAAATCATTTGGATAAATAATCTTTTAAAGTTTTTTGAAATTTTCAAGAAACTCGCATATTAAGATTCCTTTTATAGATGCATTGTCTTAGATGCCAAGCTATACTAAGTTTTTGAAGGAGACCTTAGCAAACAAAAGGAAACTAGAGGATTTTAAGACTATGAACATGATAGAAAAATGCTAAAAAACAAGTTTCTACCAAAACTTCAAGACCTATGAAGTTTTTCTATCCCTTGTATTATTGGAAGTACATGTTTTGATAATGCCTTACATGATTTTGGTGCTAGTATAAACCTAATTCCATATCATGTGTTTAAAAAGCTTGGCCTAAGAGAAGCAAAATGCATTATTAAATCTTTATAATTAGTAGATAGATCAATAAAACACTTTAAAGATATAGTAGAGAATGTTCTTATTAAAGTGGATATCTTAATATTTCTTGTTGATTTTATTGTCATAGACATGGAGGAAGATTCTATTCGTCGCTTCCGATTTTAGGAAAACCTTTCCTAGCCATAAGAAGAACCTTAATTGATGTGCAAAAGGGTTAACTAATCTTGAAAATTAATAATGAGCAAGTTACTTTCTATATTTTTAAAGCTATAAAACACCCTTATGATAATTCCGAATGTATGAGTGCGAAGTAATCAAACATATGGTTAATGATTATTTTTAGAAAAATAGTTACACCGATCCTTTGAAGGCTTGCCTTGCTTGATTAGGTCATATCAAAGTAAAAAAAAATGAAGAAATTCAAGTATGTGTAAAATATTTGGAAGTAACTCTATTCATGAAAGCATTTAGATCGATGCTAGTAGAGCTAGGACGATTGAAAGTGGCAACCGAAATCATCTATTAAAGAACATCCAAAACTTGATTTAAAAATTTTACCTATTCATTTGAAATATGTATTTTTAAGGGATAATTCTTGTTTGCCTATCATTATTTCTACTCTTTTGACAGATTTATAGGAGGAAAGAAGGTTTTAGGGTGTATAATTACGGATATCAAGGGAATAAGCCGATTGATGTGCATGCATAAAATTCTTATGGAGGAGAACCACAAACTAACAATTCAACCTCAAAGAAAGCTAAATTTGATTGTACAAGACAAGGTAAAAGTTAAGGTACTCGAGCTATTTAATACGAGTATTATCTCTCTCTCTCTCTCTCTCTCTCTCTCTCTCTCTCTCTCTCTATATATATATATATATATATATATATATATATATATATATATATATATATATATATAGTGAATGGGTAAGTTCGATACAAATAGTACTAAAAAAAGGAATGGATAATTGTTGTTAAAAATGATAATGATGAACTGATTCCGACAAGGACATTTATGGGAAGGCAAGTATGTATTGACTATAGAAAATTAAATGATGCCACTCGTAAAGCCCGTTTCCTTCTACCTTTCATTGATCAAATTTAGAAAGATTATTTAGTCATTTTTTTTCTACTTTTTGATGGATATTCGGGATACAACCAAATTTATATAGCCTTATAGGATCAAGAAAAGATTAATTTTACATGTCTATATGGTACATTTGCATATATAAGAATGCCTTTTGGCTTATGTAATGCTATTATCATTTTTCAAAGATGCATGATGTTTATTTTCTAACATGGTAGAAAAATTTATTGAAGCTTTCATGGATGATTTCTCAAATTTTGGATCTTCCTTCGATAAATGTCTATCTAACCTTGCTTTGGGGTTGCAAAGATGTAAAAAGTCTAATCTTGTGATAAATTGGGAGAAGTGCAATTTTATGGTACGAGAAGGCATAGTGCTAGGTCATAAAATTGCTCATAAAGGAATTGAAGTAGACCGAGCCAAGGTTGAAGTAATTGAGAAGTTGCCACCTCCTAATAGTGTAAAAGCAGTGCACAGTTTCCTAGGGCATGTTGGATTTTATAGGAGACTCATTAAAGATTTTTCAGCAATCTCCAAACCTTTATGGCTCTTATTGATGCATAGTGTCCCTTTTTATTTTTCTGATGATTGAATGCATGATTTCAATACTATCATGGAGAACTTGATTTCGGCATCTGTAATTATAGCACCAAACTAGAACCTCCCGTTTGAACTGATGTGTGATGCAGTGACACAGCGGTATGAGCGATACTCGATCAAAGAACAGAGAAAGTGTTTAGGATGATCCACTATGATAGTCGTACACTCTCTACAACTCAATCCAATTATTTCACCACAGAGAAGGAACTGCTCGTAGTTATTTTTGCTTTTGACAAGTTTTGATCGTACTTGATTGGAACAAAGGTGGTGGTGTATCCAGATCATTCTGCTTTGAAGTATCTGCTTGCAAAGAAAGATGCTAAACCAAGGCTCATTCAATGGATTCTTTTTTTTATATATAAGAATTTGACATCGAAATTAAAACCAGAAAGAGGATCGAGAACCAAGTAGCTGTTCATCTTTCAAGGATTGAAAATCCAACTGGAGAGCCACTTGTATCCTCAATTAAGGAGGAGTTTCCCAATGAGCATCTATTCTTTATACAAGAACTTTCTTGGTATTATGATTTTACAAAGTATCTAGCAAGTAAGTATATTCCTCCATATTTAACTCATCAACAAAGAAAGAAATTTTTCTCTGATGTTAAGCACTTTATCTGTGATGATCCTCACTTGTATCTTATGCGGATAATGTCATTCGTAACTGTGTACCAAGGAAAGAAGTGTCTCATTTGCATGGTAGGCAGGTAGGTGGACACTTTGGGGCGAATAGAACTGCAACCAAAATGCTCCAATCTGGCTTCTATTCACCAACTCTATTCCACGATGTTTATAATTATGTGAAGAGTTGTAATGAATGCCAAAGAACGGGAAACATTTCCAAGAGATATGAATTGCCTTTACATAACATTCTTGTATGTGATATATTTAGTGTAGGACATAGACTTTCAAGAGCCATTTCTATCATCCCGTTCAAACAATACATTCTTGTGGCACTGGATTATGTGTCTAAATGGGTGCATTTCGTAGCCATAAAAACTAATGATGCTAAGCATGTCATAAAATTCAAAAAAAAAAAAATATTTTCACATGTTTTGGCACATCTAGGGCAATCATTAGTGATGAAGGCACACATTTTTGCAATAGACATTTGGGGATAATTTTGAGACAATATGATGTTACACATAAAATTGCTACACCCTATCATCCTCAAACAAGTTTTCAAGTAGAGATCTCTAATAGAGAACTTAAAAGCATTCTTGAGAAAACTACTAGGAAAGATTGGTCTTTTAAGTTAGATGATGCATTATGGGCATACAAAACAACATTTAAAACTCCACTAGGTATGTCCCCATATATGGTTAGTTTGTGGGAAAACATGTCATTTACCTGTAGAACTTTAACATAAGGCTTATTGCACAATGAAATTCTTGAACTTTGATTTGAAAGCAGCAGGTGAGCAAAGGCTACTTCAAATGAGTGAGATGGATGAATTTTGTCTTCAAGTTATGAGAATGCAAAACTTTATGAGGAACGCACAAAACGTTATTATGATAGACATTTTGATGCGTGATTTTGTTGCAGGACAAAAAATTTTACTCTTTAATTCTTCACTTAAGCTTTTCCGGGCAAGCTCAAGTCCAGGTGGTCAAAGACCATTTGAAGTAATTAAGGTTTACAATCATAGAGCAGTCGACATTAAAGACGCGAATTCCATCATGTTCAAAGTGAATGGGCAAAGGCTCAAACATTACTTTGCTGGTGACTCTATTTCACAAGGGGTGGCTTGCACCATTTTTGATCCACCACCATGAACTTGTAAAGTCAAGCTTATGACTTTAAACAAGCGCTAGTTGAGAGGCAACTCAACGAATTTTAGTGTTTCTTTTCATTATTTTTATGTTTTCATGTAGTATGTTTTGTGTTTTGAACAAACCCATGCTCAATACTTTGATTTCCTATTTTAACTGAAGATCTACCCTTCAACATTGATTGGGACACAAGAGAGGAGCGGGAATTTGCAATGGTAAGAGTGATTATGATGATAATTAATAAAATAATGAATTATTAATCGTAAAATGTGAATGCATGCTAGCTAGAAGAATAAAATCATTTTCGTAGGGCAAGGATCTAACCTACTTCCTCTCCTTTTTTATATATATATATATACTGAATTGGATTAAAAATTGAATCTAGCTAGGACCTTTAATAAATCCAAGAGAGATACACCATCCCATGTGCTTCATCAATGTTATATTATATTTTTTTTTGAGTGGCTAATAAATAAAAGAAGAGCGTTTAGGTAGTCTACGTAGGAATCATGGATCGGTAAAGCCTACTTCAAGTGGCCTGGTTTATAAAGTGATCATGAATTGGGTTCTTTGCTTCATTGTTTACAATGCTCATCTATAAAGCCTAATGATTAAACTTTAATTAAGTATTTAAAAGGGATTAATGAAGATCGGAAATTTATTGATGGGTCCTTTGAATAAAGGTTAGATTAGAGAATATTTGTGTCCTATTATGAGTAGTGAGAATAGAGCAATAGATGATCCTTTCTCCGCAAGTACACACATAAAAGTCACGAAGGACACTTTCGGTTGTAGAAATGCATTGTTAAGAGAGGTCTTACTTTGACATGTATGTTCACCATGGTCACCATCAAAACAATGACACATCAGCTAGGCTGTGGAGCCCAATTGGTGACTGGGTGACACGTCATGGGCCAGATCTTTGATATTCTATGTCATATATACGTGAATGGTGAGTTTTTTTTTTTTATCATTCCTTGAAGGATTAAAAAGTGGAGTTCAAGGTTGATATATATAAATATGTGTGTCCTCGTGTGATGGTAACATTTAGTATTTTGATATGATGATTCTCTCTATGAGTTTAAATTGGATATAGGCAAGTAAAGGTGTGGCTAAAGATTTATGCGATAGCTAGGCAATAAGGCGTCTCTTTCATGAGTGTAATGAGAAAGCGTGCGTGTGCTGAGGAAGGAATAAAGTGAGGTTTTAGAAGTTTGTTTTATGGCCTTTTATCGCTTTTAAAAGAGACTCATATCATATAGGAAGTATCCCTTGTTGTACACGGATTACAAAAGACAGTGGAAAGTTGAAGAGGGCTCCCATTGATAAAAGCAAAATTGCGAACTTGGAATCTTTCACACACTTTTGATTCCTTTAAATGAACTTAAAGTTTGATAGATACAAGTGGGGTTTCGAAATTAATCAAAGTAAAAGCTAAGGGACTGCTGTTTATCTTGGTTCTCTTGCCTCTTTTACGAAATGACTAAACAACATGTTTTGACTTTTTGGTGGCGTCTTTAGTGTTTTGTGTTAAAAATTGAAAGACGAGGCGTTCTGCTAAACCGAGATTGAACCCAAAAATATCCAATTTAATGGGCTACGTTATAATTTCATATTTAAACATTCAATTATGTCACACCTCGATGTTTCGATAACTCAGTATATATTTTAAGCTAAATGTGCTTTTTTCATTTTTTGTTTTTATCCTCGTTAATGTCAATACGTATATTTTCAATCTCGATTAATTAAATATAATTTTTTAAAATTGAAATCTATTTCAGTCAATTGAATTATTATTATCAACTTTTTTTTTCCATTCTCATTAATATTGTCGCCATCTCCATGAAATAGTCCACTAACCCCTTTTCAATTTAAACAAAGTATACGTAATTGATTTAAAAATGCAAATGTTTAGTTGACTGAATTGATAACAAATCAATATTTTTAACAAATGGATGAAAACACACGTATGAATTTATCCTATTTTTTATTTTATGAGCAATATCCATAACAGACTCTAATATGTGCTTACACGCAACTACTCGTGCGTATCCAGCAAATGGCACTTACGGAGATATTTATTAGAGTTCATGATACAATTGCCACCTCACACCAGTCAAAAAATATTATGGCCTTCCAAACGTCTCATGATGAGAATTCACAGCCCATTCTTGCTTTGTTGAGACCGAGCATCCAAAGATGCTTTCTCAGCTCCGTCTTTAGTCGTTGAAAATTGACATAAAGCTTCCACTAATTTCGAGCAATGTTGGTCTCAATCTGATTTTTAGTGTCCGATTCAGGACGCTCCTCCCCTTATGGTATATTTGAAAGCCATCTGCCATCTGCCATCTGCTACCAGCGCACCCCCAACATTTATTAGTGGACAATCTATTATTGAAAAGCTCTGGGAAACATGTTTGCATTTATTGTCCGCAAAACAGATCCAATTATCTTTACCTAGCAAATCCTAATCCAGATTTAGCTCTCTTTCCAATTCTTTTCCACATTTCAGGCATCCAAGTCGATACAAAACCCAACTCCTGAACCGCCAATTTGTTCAATTTGCTCGGTAGAAGCCGAACCTTTGTGTAAAGAGAGGTTAAGATATTCCCCATACAAGACCGAATAAATGTAATGGTTTCCATTTTCACTTGCAACATACTCGAGCTTAGCCAATTTTAACACATAGATAACACAAAGAAATAGGTTTGAAAATTTCAACTCCTGTTCAGGTCTATTGACTCAAAATTCCAAGCAAGATACCAAAAAGCTTCGAATGCCGAAACTCACATCCTCTATCAAGGCTGCCTCAACCTACCCTCATCCATTCCGCAAAGAATCAACTACTTATAGGTCATAAGTTTTCAACTTTCAGCCTTCTAGTATCAAAACCAAAGTTCAGGAGGCGTTATCTGCTTTTGCACAAAAGCGCAGCACAAGAAATATTTTCAAGGCTTTAAAGAAAGATCGCACACATTATCATATTGCATCCAAGGTACAAAAATGGTAGATGCAATTATGCGAAAAATCAAACACGACAGTTTACAAAAATGGCTCAGGTTTTCATCCTTGCCTTAAAATCACCCGCATGTTACAAAACAGGAGCTAAGCTGCGTGCCACCACTTCATAAAAGAACATAGCACTACAGACATAAACATAATAGATCTTGACAACAGTAGCCAGCTTTACAGAATATGTATCAATATCTTGATCGGCTCCTTACCCTGTGATGTTAGGCCTCTAATCAGTCTCCAAGATGATTTATATCAATCAAAAGAATGAGAAACTTAACATGATTATTGACCTTGGTGAGCGGGAATAAGAACGAGAGCGGGACCGGGTGCGTGTTCGGGATCGGGATGGGGAACGGGAGTGCGAATGGGAATGGTGTCTTTGAGAGCTCCTACTTCTACTTGGACTTCTACTGGACCTGTATCTTCTGCAGAAATACATATCATTGGACAAGCAAAAAAAAAATATTAGTTAATTTAAATATAATGCTCTGATCCATAGCAATGAATCATAAAAGCAATATTTAATCATGTTATAATGTGCCTGATGTCACCTCTTGTCATAAACTGACACAACTATCTTTATCACCTCTAACAAACATCAATTTTGTGGTCTAAAAAGGAAAATGATATTGCCTAGCCTCGAAGAAGGGAAAACAAATAATACAAGTCAAAAAATAAAGTAAAAGTGTTGCAGACAATGGATGAATAGAATATTTGACACAAGAATCAGTGCCTACATTGAGATTATTACTTTTTATAAGAAATACAAAGACGAACAAGTATGACAAAGATGCTACTCAATGTGTCATTCCTTGCAATAAAGCATGGTAAATACCTTGGCGGAGAACGACTGAAGCTCCTGCTACGGCTGCGACGTCTATATCGACTCAATTGACTTGTCTCTGCAAGTTTCTCTAGCCTCTGGCGCTCCTGTTCTCGTTTCTTGGCCATCTCAGCAGCAGTATCTTTTTTAACTGCAGATGAGCAAAAAATAAAATAAAATAAAAACATGGACTGTGAAACAGATGCAGATAAGGTACAAGGAACCCCCTTCCCCTTCCAAAAATAAAAAACCCCAGGCCAGGTCAAACTAAGCGGATAATAAAATTTCAAGTTTCATAAACAGAAGCCCTTCATTGTCAATGCCACTGATGGACATTAGACAAATGTTGAACTGCTCAACTACAGGTATGTATAATCCAGGTCATACTTTGTTTGTTTAGCTGCTTGCTCATGATCCTTTTGAGTCTCTCCTGAGGAGTTTCTTTTTCGCTCCTTGTTGCTGCTTCAAAGGACCCCCAGAAGTACTCGACTTGGTTAATTTTGCTAATCCTGATGGTGTGCTGTTCAAAGGAGAACATAGGATAATTGAATCAGAAACAATTGTAAATAAGAAAACAAAATGAAAATTCACTATAACAACCAAAATTTGAGAGCATCATGAATATCAGTCCATGCACAACACCTTACTGTTGGTTTTGATGCTTTTGTGCTCTTATCATTATCCAGGGATACACCAGATGCAGGATCAATATGCAATGCCTCAAGTATGTGACCAGATGACGGCCTGCAGGGAAATCACTAGCATTAGACATACCATTCAATAGTCATGTGCAACTTGGAAGCAATTAGATTTAGTCTGTTCCAGGGGAAATATGAGCTTCGGAAAAGAAGCCTCCTTTCCTCTCCATCTCGTTAGTTAGGAAGGTAACCCTAGTGTGATATATTCTAAAGCACAAATGTTTGCTTCAGGTAACAAAATGGGTAAGCTGCAGCTCACTAAAGACTTTCCAATCTATCTTTGCAATAATTAAAGGTCGAGTTCTCCGACCGGTTCAACAGATCAGCCTGTGATGAAGGAGATGGTGGTGGAGAGTATCCTTCAAGCTTTGGCTCATCCCTGTCAACAGAGCCCCCAAATTCAGTGATGTATTCTATCTTAGGAGTCCTTGGTTTACTACGGTGAACTTCATCAGGGTGCCCTCCACGAGTATAACGCCTAGAGCGTGATGGTGAATATGAGCGTGATCTTGATCTCGATCTATAAATACAGAACAACAATGAGAAGCATCTATCACATATCCAAGGAAAACATACAAAAAGGTCTTTGAAAGATCAGGCATACCTTCTGGAGCGAGAATAGGCTTCATAAGTTGGACTTCGTCTAGATTCACTGTATAGAAAAAGAATGCAGCATTATCATAACACAATAGCATGTGTGTAGCATGGTCATAGAAAGACTTCTTAGAATTAAGAATTTTGAGGAAGAAGAAATTAGTGATTTCTACCGGTAGGGATCATGATGGAGAACTCTCGTTCCTGTTATCCTAGCAGCTTCTCTCTCTCTTTCCCTTTCTATCTGAGAAACTTTCCTTCTTTCCTTGCGACTCAGTTTCCTCTGAAATTAGAGGTTTATACAAATGAACATGTAGTAATGGCAAGCATTATTTGCTACAAGGAAACAAGAGGAAATTCCAAATGACAGTCTTGCAAAACTTACAATAGCAGGATCGCCTTTGATCACTTCCTTCTGTCTTTTCTCTTCTTCTTTTGCCTTTTTATCCATGTAAACAAGCCAGCCATACCTTTTCACTCCAAAATCTTTTGCTATTGTTTCCATTCCTTCATCATTACTGTCGTCGCTATTAAAATCCTCATCATCATCATCTTCATCTTCACTTTCACTGTCATCACCATCTGAAAAATGGGTTTCCTCTTTTCCATCCCCATCATAAGAAAACCCAACTTGTGAATAAGAACCCTTGCTAGCAGGAGGCTGTTGTGTCTGAGAATTACTGCATTTATTTGTAAAAACAAATGTAACTAGAGAAGAACACGACTGGCCAAAGCTATACATTAAAAGGTACAACAAAAAGTTGGACAAAGCCACATCATCACTATCATAGAACTGTAACAAATTACCACAAGCTGAACAAAAGTAAACCATGAAAGATCAGATCCAACCCACATATCAAAGCAAAAGAAAATGAGGCATAACAGTGAAATCAACATAGTTCAGGATACAAATTTTCTGGGCCAATGAAAAAAAAATCACATTTCTTGTAGAAATCATATCAACTTGAGTTTTCCACAACATAAACCCCAACAAATAAAAATGATGAGAGCCACCTCTGAAATCTGATTGAGGAAACCATTTTGGTAGCTGCTCATGGCTTCCATTGACAGAAAAACATATTTCTCGACAATGTAGCAATTTCAAAGATGAACACAAACACTAATAAGAGGTCTTAACAAGCTCAGCATATCACTGAAAAATCAAAACCAACTTTGTTCCCTTGAGCCCAGAGGACCCCGTTATACTAAATAGTAATTTCCCATTTTGCTTAAAAAAAAAAAAAAAAAGCTACTTGTGAGCTCAAAATTCAAAGATTGTGGGAAAAAAAAATAATAATAAATAAATAAATAATAAAAATATTTATTATCACTATGGGAAATAAGCTTCCAAAAGATTCCTCGGAGATTCAAGTGAAATGAAAGTCTTATCATCAATATACACATTCATCTAAAATAAATCACAAAAAAGAGATGTCTATACAACACGTGCAAGCATGCTGAAATTATCTAAAGCTTGGTCTCATGAGTATTTGTCCAAACAAGACATGCCAAGCATGTTTGTTAAGATTATCTTTTAGTTATAGCCCGAAGAGGAGTGAAAGAGAACTTCATTCACCAAAACACGTGCTACAATTAGTGTGCTAACTCATGGAGAGGAAGAAATTGAACCTGTCTGAAGCAAATGGAGCAGTAAACTTTGCTTCAAGTTCTTGATATACATGTTGCAAACCCTCTTCATCTGCAACTGTTAACATATAATTGCAAATTCTCTTCATTAATAATTGTCAGTGTGCAGATCTAAGTTTGTAAAACTGATTTTGAAACAAGGCCCTAGCTTCGTAATCAACACCACAAAGGTGAATAACCTTAGTCTTTTATAGTGTTTTCATAACGGAAGGCAATAAATGAAAAAAGCGAGAAACAAGAATTGAACACATAATCATCAAAAAACAAAAAAGTACCGACATCCTCTACGTCGATGCTTAATTAAATCCCGATAACGCTCAAAATTAACAAACTCTTCTAGTTCTTCTTCTTCTTCTGATTTTTGTGGGGCCCGTCGGATCACAGGCTCCCGAATAAAATCAAGTAAAGCACGGCCATCAAATCTATCAAATAACAAAAAGCCATAGATTCTTCAATCACAAATGTTAAGATAAACAACGAATCTACAGCCAAATAAAAGAACATAAGGCATAAAAACAGAGATAGAGAGTTCACCTGTCAATAAGAACATCCTGTTTTCCGTTCCAAGGTATCCTGAGAATTTAAAAGTTTATTCCAAATTAAACAATGTCACCGAATGCAAGAATACGATAAAAACAGCAAAAACTCAGTAAGAAATGTTAGTTTTACACATTAAAATTCAAGCGACCATTGATATTAAAAATATATAAATAGGGACCCATCACAGAAAAGTGTTAGTCCAAGTCGCTTTCCAGAAAATTAGAACACAATATAATGCAAATAAAAAATGTCGATTAAGGCTATAACCAAGCCATAGCAAGGTATCCTACAAATGAAATTTTGTTTAACTACACTTAATCGAGTTTGAAGCCTTCCATCAAGCTCTCTTTTTCTTTCAAATTTCATTTATTAATTTCTCAAACACAATATAATGCAAAAGAAAAATTAGACACGAATATTTTCAATTGACAGCACAATTCATCATGATCAATAAATTGTTACGATAAAATTAAAAAATAATAGCAAATAAAAATGATAAAAAAAAAAACCCGAATAGTTGCACAATTACTAGAACAATATACTTCTAAAAAATAGAAAATAATAATATAGTAACATACAGGCCTTGCTGGTCTTGTGTGGCTTGATAGAGACCATCGTCACGATACATGCGAGATCGATTGCCAATAACTTGAATGGATTGCATTGGATCGCCTCTTCTCTTCGCCAAATAAACGGCTCGTCGTTGAGCTCGCTTTCGAGCCGCGTCCATCATGTCGTGTACTTTCTTCTCTGATCTTCTCGCTTCGTGCCACATCTTTCACTAATTGAAGGAACTGGACTTCCCCTTAATCTCAAATCGAACTCAAACCCTAACCCTAATTTTACTGATTTTAAAGACGAGGAGGAACTTGATGTTATGTTTTTTTTTTTTTTTTTTGCCCTTTCTTTCTGTGATGCTTGGCTTGGAGTTCTCCAAGGACTAAGGAAGGGTTTATGTTCCATTTGGACCGTTGGTGGGAAAATAAATGGACGGTCAGTCCGCACAAGACAGTTCGAGGCAAATAATCTAAAGAAACGACGCCGTTCTTATTTCAATTTGTCTTTTCACCAGCAGGATCAATCCATTTCGCTGCCATCGGGAGAATTAAAGAAAGGCCATCCAGGACTAAAGAATTCAATGTTCATGATTTTTTTCTGAGAAAAATGTAAATATATATATTAGTTGAAAATGAAAATTACCTTCTTGAAAATCTCCAATTTCCTAGCAACCTCAAAAACATCAAAAAATTGTTTTCCTAATTTTCAATTTTATATATATATATAATTTTTTTATGTTCTGCTTTTTTTGACTTCCTATCGTCCTCCACCTGGGAAGGTAGTGCTGGTGCAAAAGTAATGATCCTAATGTTGACCAATAAAAGTAAACGTAAACTCCTTCCAAGAAATTTAATTACAACTTCTTCATGGCATTGCCATTTCCCTTCACAACTTTCAATTATTTCTACAGAAAACAGTGTTTTCTTCTGCATGAAACAATGGCAGCTGGTGTTCTTGATTTGTTTTATACTACCATCCTTTTGTTCACAATATCAAATGCTTTTCCGGTGAATGAAAGAGGCAACAAGTGGATTAGCACCATTGGTGAGGTTGTTGAGTGTAGTACCCATGTGGGTAGAGAAGAAAAGGCAGCCATTGATATTTCTATGCAAGACTTCTGCTGCTTTACTGGTCATAAGCATGGCAACTCCAGTCGAGCCACTTTTGAAGGTATGTTTATTTTTTGCAAACAGGGTTTTGTTTATAGACTTTATAATTCTCTTATAAAATTAACAACTACCAGTATATTAATAGTGTTTTGCTTGTTCCGATTAAAATGAGCTTTTAATTTTTGTCACATTTATGTGATCTGAATTCGTATTTGTCTGTATAATCTGTTGGTTATGTAATTTTGCATATTTTTCCTGTAAAATGTTTTCTTTTTCTTTTTCTTTTTTTCCTTAAAAAGAAAAGATGCAAGGAATACTAAGAAATACAAATCATTCATTGCTTGTAGTGTCCTGAAATGTCTGATTAGCTATAACTATATTAGAAGACTCAGAATTTGCATTAAAACGCAAACTTGAAATTAACAGGGCTTTCATGTGTATTGTTAGATGCAGCATTTTATCTCCTAGAGAACCAAAAGTGTGCGTTGACATGGCAACGAGCTGCATTAGTTGCTGAAAGAAATGATGTCACCAATGAAGCAGCAATCATTTCGGTAACCACTGGAATACATCTGATACTGCCTGAAAAGGAACTGGTTGTAATTATGATGCATCCAGATGGATATGTGAGAAATAATAGTACCTCTGTCATCGTTATGACCAAGTGTTCTGAGGTGATTGCAATCTGTGAAGACAGAAATTCCTGTATGAGTACTTTTGGCAGCATTGACTTCCATTCTGCAATGCTCCATGATAGTAGGGATCAGCTAGAATCCTCAGAATTCCCTGCGTTGTCTTCTCTTATAGATTCAAATACCACCAACAAGAAAGTGTTAATTGCCCTTTCTTTTGAAATGGCTAAGCAAATGGGAGCTTGTATGCAGATTACTGCTGATGGGAACACTAGTCCTTTTTGTTGCCCTGATTCATCTATGGTGACATCCATGCAAGGTGTGCTTGGGTCTATGGCGTGTGAGATATACAACGTTAAAATGAGATGGTTAAAGAATTTCATATTGGCGAGACCAAATTTCAGACAATTTCTGGAAGTAAGTCATGATCAGAAACACATGGCTGGGTTCTCAGAGAATTTATTTGAATCTGCTGTGGAGGTTTTACCTTATAATTCTATCGGCAAAATAACTCCATTTCTTGGTCCTTACGATGATTTGGTTTCGGAGGTGCTTTTCAAGGTCAGACTTTTCTTATTACTTTTACTGTTGTATGTTTCTGAGAAGTTCCGCATTTTACAGGTTAAAGGAGATATGAAACAATTTCAGTCATAATGGCCTATATGTTTGTTCATGACAAGAATCCTAGTGTGTATTTAGAGACCAAAAGATATATATAAAGCAATTGAACAATGTAGGACAGCATTCTAATAGTAATTGAGTAGTGGGTGGTTCTAATGATTTGAATCAAAATGCCTTGTCAAACTTTCTGTTTGAATAAATTAAACTAAGCGATGATGGCATTGTTAGAATTAGTTACGACTGATTGTCAGCTAGTTCTGGATTTCAAGAACATAATTATATACACCAATAAATGTGAAGTGTAAATCAGAGTCAACATTTCCACGAGCTAATTGTTTGGTCACTTTAGATTCTATCCAGTTTTCTTGGTCGTTACAACCTAAAATCCAATTAAACTGTAGTTAATTTGAAGGTTTCATGAATATATTCTGCATTCATCATGTAATACCTCTCAGAAACAGAAAAAAAGAGCTTAAAGCCAAATCAGATTGCATGTGCAATATATACCTCTTCTTCCACAATTTAGAACAAAAAACATGAAGATCCATGCAGGCCTCTTATAAATATGTTATTGACAAACTTTGCCAAAGAAGCTAAAAAGAAATAAATGCAAGAAGAAGCAAAAAAAAAACAAAAGAATGAAGTGAGAAAAATGCTGATAGTATATATATATATTGAAGAGTTTGGATGCAGCTGTTGGTGATACAGAAATACAAGCAGATCATCGATATGCAGAGTTCTCTGAGCCATATGAAGGAGGGGTCCTGATGGTGGTGACGACTAAAAGACATAAATCACATGTATGGTTATTCATGAAACCTTTTAACCAAGGATTGTGGTTTATTATGGCAGCCATGACTATTTTCACGGTTTTTGTTGTTTTGTTTGTGGAATGCCACAATGATAATGGAAGCCGCGAACCGCTTGGAAGACAAATTGGAAGCATTCTATGTGCTGAGAGTAAGACAACTAAACTGCTCTAAATGTACGACATGAATCAGAAATGATTTTAGTGCGCATGTCTTTGAAAAATTCATTGTAAGCTATAACTTACGAGCTTCAACGTTCCTGAAACTAATCAAGTATTCAGATTTTCGCAAGTTTTTCCATCTTTCAACACTAGTTGTTTAATTTCCTGGAAAGATATTTGTTGGTGATAATATTTTCAGTCTAGTAATTTGTTAGATCATAGGATGGCATTACTAACTGTTAATTCTTATACCTATCCTCTTCAATCTGCAGGAAAGCCACCCAATCACATTTTTGTATCGCTTTCTGCTGGTACTGTGGTTAATCCTGATTTTAGTTGTTACTGCAACGTTTACAGCGAGCCTCACTTCCATGACAACCAAATCAGAATTTGAACCATCTGCAACAGATATTGGTGTGCTTTTGAGAACGAACTCAGTTGTTGGTTGTAATGGAAGTTCTTTTATTGTCCAGTATTTAGTGGAAGTTTTGGGGTTCAACCCAGTAAATATAAGAAGCATAGGCTCAATTGATGACTATGCAAAAGCCCTATTAAGTGGAGACATTAAATCAGCTTTCTTTTTGGTATCCCATGCCAAAGTTTTCCTTGCAAAATACAAGGGATTCACAGTTGCAGGACCTGCCTACAAGCTAGGGAGTTTCCGCGCTAGCGTCGTAATAAGATTCACACTCTTCCCTTCTTTTTATCTTTGAATAATTCTACTCCATGCTTTTAGAACTTCAATTAGTAACTAGTAAAAATATTAGATATTCTATTTGGCAGATGTCTCGAAGGGGTTCCCCTTTTTCTTTCAACAAGTTGACAGGGGAGTATGAAGATAATATAAGCAGACGGCAGACTCGAAGGCTTTCTGACCAATCTGTTTCAGCGTCCAATGTCAAGAGAAAACGATTAAAGATTGCTGTACCAATGAGATCGACTACGAATCACTTTGTGGGAGTAAGCAATTATCAGAATAACATCACAAGATTTTCTCTTGATGTGTTTGAAGCAGCTGCTAAAGCTCTATCTTATAAGTTGGTTTATGAAATGGTTGCCATTCATGGCTCTCATGATGATTTGCTCAAGGAGATTTCTCTCAAGGGCAGGTCTTTTATTTTATTACTTTCCACTTTCTAATTTGTTTCTCTATCTGTTAGTGAAAATGTTTGAAGGATAATCTATGAATCACCAATTCAGGGACGTAAAGCCCTATGCTAACAAGATATACATATCACAAGACAAAAGCCTGACTTTCTAGATCAGTCAGTCAACTGAGGTTGTCCTGATAGTTCACAACATGCCTCGTAGAACTTGGTGTTAAGAGTAAATTTGGCATGCCGGATGGTGTTCTTAAAACTTTAACCTGTTTGTACCAAGTCCTAGATTTCAAGAAATTCATATCAAATTCTTAAATGTACATGAAGGAAGTGATAGTTTTCTGTTTCTTCCATGTTTTTACAACAAAAATCATGGAGACCTATATGCGCCTCCTGTGAGTATGTTCAGGTATTCCTGACACTCACCAAAAAAAAAAAAAAAAAAGGAAAAATAAAGAGACGAAGAAAGAAATAAGTGAGGAAAGTGCTGATAAGTTTTTTTTCCCAACATATTGAAGACTTTTGATGCAGCTACAGGCGATATTCTAATAAGAGCAGATGCGTATCAACTTGTCGAATTCTCGCAGCCCTATTTTGAAGCAGGACTTAATATGGTGGTGACAGTTAAAACAAATAAAGCAGAGCTAACCATGATGATGACCCCTTTCACTCAAGGGATGTGGTTAATTATGGCAGGCTTGAGTTTTTTCACTGGTTTCGTTGTCTGGTTTATTGAACGCCAAAACGATGATGGGAGCGATCATCCTGCTGGCAGAGGATTTGGAAGTGTTCTATGGTTTCCCTTTTCAACTCTCTATTATGGGCCAAGTATGACAAGTAGACAACTAAATTGTGCAAATTTACATTTAAAGATTTTACAAAGAATTTTGAAAGGCGTGCCTTTGATTTGATTCCAGTAAGCTAATACTTGTGAATATCTTTCTTTGATTGTTCATAACATTACTATGAAGCTCAGCTCCTTCAATTTTCTTTAAAGGCTTTTGATAATGTCCATATTAGTGGTAAAAAAGTCACTGGATCTTAGGATAGGATGAAAACTTGAACTATGGCCTGAAAATCATTGATTCATTACTTTGAACTGATAATTGAACGGCAGTTAATTCAATTGAAGAAACTGATGGGGCCGGTGGGGGTTTGGGAGATGGTGGTTGTGGTGGTGATTCAAATGAGAAGCATGCTAGTGTTGCATGATTCAATAGTTCACAGATTTTGTTTGGAAAACTTAGTCTCTCGTTTGTAGTCATTTTTTGTTCTGGATGACTAGCTGTCAATTCATTTTCGTAATTCATATCATCTTGAATTTGCAGGAGAGTCAACAAGAAACAGTTTGTCTCATTTAGTACTGGCACCATGGTTATTTCTGATGCTAATTGTTACCTCAACATTCACGACGAGCCTTACTTCTCTGATAACCACCAACTCGCAGGCCGAACCATCCAAGGTCGATGTTAATATGCTCAAGAGGACAGGCGCAGTTGTTGCTTGTGATGGAAGTTCCATTGTCACCCAATATTTAGTGAAAGTTCTAAAGTTCAGGCCAGAGAATGTAAGAAGCATATCCTCAGTTGATGAATACGCAAAGGCTCTATCGAGTGGACATATTAAAGCTGCTTTCATCCTGACAACTTACGCCAAAGCATTTCTTGCAAAACACTGCACTAGCTTCACCATCGCGGGACCCACCTATAAGCTAGGCGATTTTGGCTTTGTAATTCAATTCAAACTATGCTCTTTTTGGCTGTGATCTTTTAGAATTTATGCATTGGACCTGCTTGTTAGGCTAATAAAACATTATTCTACGTAGAGCTAACCTTTTATGTTTTGTTCTGCAGGTGTTTCAGAAGGGTTCTGCTTTGGGTTTAGACATGTCACAAGCAATTTTAAGATTAAGTGAGAATGGAGAATTGCAGCTGCTAGAGGAAGAAATGTTGTCTTATTCCAACTGCTCAGCTTCAACATCTGATCCCAATGCTATCCAAAGTTTAGGACCAGGACCCTTTCTAGGTTTGTTCGTCATCTCAGTTGGTGCTTCTGCAATTGCATTGCTAATAACAGTCATCCGTCTATTGAGACAAAGGTGGGACAGAGTGACCGACATTCAAGCAGCATTGATGGGTAGCCAACTTTGGACTTGGGTGCTAATCCTCTTCACTCAAGATCAAGCAACAACTGAACTTCAACTGGCAAGGAGAAATTCCGGTTAAAACAGATAATTAGATAGTAGAAAACGACAGGTATTATAAGTAAAATGCATTGTTGGTACATTATCATGCATTAATGTTTAAACATAACAAATTGTATACTGTATCCACATTCAAAATGGCCAAGTGAGCATGCATTAATGTTTAACCGTAACAAATGGTGGATAATTAGACACTATACGAAAACATAATAAAGATAAATCGAAGACTTATTCTATTACATAAAGACATATTAAACTATTTATCCTAGCTTTTCTTGCAAACTATTGTGAAGTTTCACCACATACTGCTAGACAGTTTTGACTTTGTAATCTGATTTGATCTATCCCTTCCATTCTGTTTTTTTCATGCTTGAAGAGAGTAGAGTCACTTGTTTGTTGCCCTTGCTCGTTAATCTAGGAAGACATTGCTCTATCTAGTACAAAATAATTTTACCATGTTTCATACTAGGAGGTGTCATAGGGTTCTGCTTTAGCTTCGGACATGTAACAGGCAATTTTAATATTAAGTGAAACCGGAGAACTGCTACTAATAGAGGAAGAAAATGCTCTCACTTCAATTTCTCAGCTGCATCGGCTAATGCCGAAGTGTTGGGTTTGGGTCCCTTCTCATGTGAGGCCCAACACCCATTTGAATAAGAGAAGAAAGCAAAAGGAGTGAACAGAAAGCGAGCGGGAGAGAGAAGCCGTGAGAAACAAAAAGACAGACAAACGGGAGAGAGAGGCAGAGTGAAGCCGAGAGAGAGAGAAGGTGCTGCCACCTTCTTGCCTTGATCGAACAGTGAGTTTAACTCCGATTAAGCTGAAATTTGGATTTTGTTCACGGCACCGAGCTCTTTAAATTGAACAATGTGGATCGTTGAAAAGCTTCTATATTTACGTATTTTCGAAATACCCATTTAATGAGACCTATCATCGTTCCTTATTGAAAAGTATCCATCTCAGGGGTAATGGATATGACGGATATGATGTATTGACGAGTGTATCTTTAGTTGAGACAAGAAAAAACCGTGTATCTCATTATTGATATAGTTAAGATTTTGAGTGGGCTAGGGTCCTATGGTTTTTCTCTCCATATTAGGGTTTTCACGTAAAAAATATCAGATGTTAATTGTAGTTGTATTCATTTGCTTCAACATTAATTATTATTGTGGTTGATTATATTTTGATTACATAAAGAAGAAAAAGGATTGAGACTTGTGGTTTGTGATTAAATTGGTACAAGTGTTCTGTGTGTGTTTTTTTTTCCCACACAAAGTTATTGAGATTATTATATATTTAATGTTTGAATTTTTCTATTTAAATGTGTAAATTGTTAAAGTTTTTCTAATCAAGTGTTTTATTTAGATTATGTGAATACATCTTGATGTGATTGTTAAATTGATGCACATGTTTCATTTTATTTCTAATTGAGTGTTTATGCTTTTTTCTCCTCTTTCAGTGTATATATTTTATTTTTTATATTTGAGTGATTGTACTTTCAAAAATTTATTGAAGAATGCTATTAATTTTGAAATATAAATATCCACTTTACAATCTTATGTAAACCATATTTTAACCAAATTAAATCAATTAAAAATTAAAATAACAAATAATTATAACCATATATTCAATTTAAAAAAAATAAGAATAAAAGGTGACTTAACTTTTAAAATCATTGGTAGAAATTTGTTTAGTTTGTGAAAAGTAGAGGGAATTGAGTATTTTGAATTTTTATTTTATTTCAATAAGTCGACTTTTATTTTTATTTTGTTTTAAACTCGAATAGATTGTTAAAAGTATTTATTATTTAATTTAACATTGACAAAATATAGTTGCATAAGATCACAAACCGAATGTTCGTTAGATTTCAAAATTAATAATACTTATCGATAAATTTTTGAAAGTACATACTCATACTCTCTCTCTCTCTCTCTCTCTCTCTCTCTCTCTCTCTCTCTCTCTCTCTCTCTCTCTCTCTCTCTCTATATATATATATATATATATATATATATATATATATATATAAAATGTTCATCTTCACTTAGAAAATAGATCAATACGTTGACGTGTAAATTTGGTGACACTTCATCATGTAAACTTCTTAGAATTGAAGACTTCATTGAGACCTAAAAATTGAAATGCGGGAGGCTTAGCTACAATGAAAGAGAAAAAAGTTAAAACTAATAAGGATATGTCTTCATGTATATATATCTAGATAAAAGTTAGATAAGAGTCGATCTTTGTAAATAGAGTTCGTCCCCGTAACGTGTAACTCTAGCTTTTAGTTATTTACTATAATTGTAATTCTATCTCTCGTAACTCTATTTAAGTAGTTCATTGCAATACAAACATAATATGTTAGCCTTGCAACTCATTCTTAGTTTCTATATGGTATCAAAGCCCACTCTAGGCCTAACTATAACGCCTTCGACTTCCTTACTAATTTCCTAAAAGATGTCGTTAGGTTCACTACATTGTTAAGACTAAAATCCCAACTCACTTCCATAATACATAACCATGGAGTGCGTATAATACAATTTACATGCCGTTAATAAATATAGTTACGGAAAGTTACAAAATGTCTAAGATGCCCTTTATCCACTAATAGACATCGTACCCCCTAATTTACAATCAAAAGAGAATCCTATATTTTCGGGTAACACATGAGCCTCTTTTAGTGAGAACCGACAAGCATCCTTAACCGAATTATCTTTGCCCTTACTCGTTACATTACACATTTACAATAACAGAATGAGCCAAAGCTTAGTAAGTAGGGTTATACACGTAATATGCACTACTTTTCTATTACTCTGCCTTTCCTCATTAATTTTAATTCGAGTACCCTAGGTATTAGCAAGTTTGTTCTATTTTCATCTCTCGATGATTATCGAATCACCTACCGCTAATAACGAAATTATCCCTCTTTGTAGCGTTATAGCACAAGGTTAGCAAGATTATCCATCGCCTAACGATGTTATCAATTAATAGAGCACACACACAGACCTCATTGCTAATACCCATTTAATCCATTTCGGTTACCAAACCTCATCAAGTCTCAATCAAATGTTCTTTCTTAATTCGAGTCCACCCCCAAATACATATGATACACATGATGTTTTAATTATCACAATCACGTAATCATGGTTACCAAACCCTATATTCTCAACCCATTCTTGGAATTCAATCCGTGCATAAGATTCGGATATAGTTCATATCGTTTACATAGTATCCATCCAAAGAATAATTATCACCAATTTGTATTCGATCTAAACTTTACTTCGTATATAAGTACCTTCCCTTCGTGTAATTAGTAAGTCTTATCATAAAATTCAACCTAAACTTAGCTTACGTAGATGTTAGCCTTATGGTCCAATTTAAATCACATCGAATTTCTCTCTTAGCTTCGTATTTTGGCATGGATGGCCGAATTTAGTCGCTAACCGGTCTAAGCCAAAATTTCCATTTCCTTTGGAGTCTAACCTTTTTACACTTCAATTTATACATATTTAGGTACAATTGAACCATTAATTATCAAGTTGTATGAGTGGAACTCAAATCCCAAAAGTTAGGGTTTAGGCCGAATGGTTCCCAAAGAGTAGCAAGAAATTTTCTTTCATTACAATGGCGTTTTGTTTCAGCCTAATGTATACTTAATTGAGTTACAATTAAGCCTTAGGTTCTTAATTACATAAAAAGGTCCAATCTTTCCCCTTTTTGGCATTTAGGCCGAATGGGTTTCCTAACAAATGCCCTAGAAACTCTTTCCGTCCAAGTCCACCTCAACCGTAGTTTAATCCAACCAAATTTCGATCCATGTCCCTTTGTTTATACCAACCCTATCAATACATATTTGGACATACACAAAGCTTTATAAGCTTCATTAATTCATCACATACATAAGTCCAACAAGTAGATCCATATCAAACTATCAACACATCATACCAACACAAGCAACTCATAATAACATAACTAACGTCTCAAGTTACTCACGTAAATTAAATATATAAAAACAAAATTGTAAGACATAAAAGAAAACCTACTTACTTAGTTCTAATTTGGTAGAAAATCCCTTAGTCTTTTCTTCTCCTTTCTACTTTCTTTCTTTCCTCTTTTTCTTTTTTGTTTTTCCCTCTCTCAATTCGGTTTTCTCTCAATTTTTGTGAGCTAAAATTTATAAAGTATGGCTGGCCATTAGCTCTCTTTTTTATATATATTTTCAACTTTCTTCCTTCATTAAATAACACAACAAGTGTCCTAAACTAAGTTGATAAGGTGTAAAGTGATAGCAGGTAATGGAAGGCTAGGTGGCGAGTTTAGAAGTCAAAATGATGAGGTGTCATTCGGATGGAAGAATGGAGAAGCTTAGGTGTCAAGTTGAATTTTAAGGATGGGTAATGGAATTAAAAATAATCCTTAGGGTATTTTAGTCTAAGAATTTTGACATTCCTCCAAAATTTCGGCCCTCTCTAATTATTTAGACAATTTTTCCATTTCATGGCATTTTCTTGGTAAGTGTTGAAGGAAATAAATAACTAGCTAACTTACTCGAAATTTATCCTCCCAAATTCTTACATACACACCAAAGTATTCTTATAACCACCATATATATTCATACCACAAAAATATTAACATGTTACATAGATCACACCCATAGTTCATATATATATATATATGAATATTCTTGTATGTATATTTATATGATCAAGAATTTTCACGGGGGTTACATTTCTTCCCTTCTTAAAAGAAATTTCATCCTCAAAATTGACTCGATCGACTAATTCTGGATATTTATCTTTCATTTCTTTTTTTGTTCCCACGTCAACTCTTCGAGGTTATGATTCTCCCATAGAAACCTTTACTAAGGCAATTTCCTTATTCCTTAGTTGTTTGACTTGTCAATCCGTAACTGGACCGATCTTTCCTCATACATTAAGTCTATGGTTAAATTCGATGATGCTATTGTTAAGACTCGGCTAGGCTCTTTAATGTATTTTCTTAGCGTGGACACATAAAACACATTAT